ATATGCAACTGATGTCTGGGTATTTATTTTGTATCCTGCTATTTTACTGAATTCATGTATTCTACTATTTTTGGTAGAATTTTTAGGGTTCTCTATATACAGTATCATGCCATCTGCAAATAATATGTTTTGCTTCTTCCTTCCCAATTTTAATGACTTTTTATTTCTTTGGATGACTTTATTCTGATTGCTATGGCTAGGACTTCGAATACTGCATTGAATTAAAGTGGTGAAAGTGGACATTCTTATCTTCTTCCTGATCTTAAAGAAAACGATTTTAGCTTTTCCCTGTTGAGAATGATGTGAGCTGTAGATTTGTATATACGGCCTTTATTACGTTGAGATATGTTCACTCTATTCCCACTGTGCTAAGAGTTTTTATCATAAATGGGTGCTGGATTTTGTCAGACACTTTGCGTCTATTGATATAATCATGTTATTTTTATCCTTCATTTTGTTTATGTGGTTATTCATGGTAATTGATTTGCTGATATCGAACCAACCTTGCATCTCAGAAATAAATCCCACTTGATCATGTTGTATGATCTATTTAATGTATTGCTGAATCTAGTTTGCTAATATTTTGTTGTGGATTTTTGCATCTATGTTTATCAGGGATATTGGCCTATAATTTTCTTCCTTTGTAACATCTTCACCTGGTTTTGGAATCAGAGTAATGCTGGCTTCCTGTAATGATCTTGGGAGCTTTTCCTCCTCTCAAATTTCTTTTGAATATTTTGAAAATAAGAGGTGTTAATTCTTCTTCAAATGTTTGGTAAAATTAATCAGTGAAGCCATCCGGTCTAGGACTTTTGTTTATTGAGAGTTTTTTTTTTAATCATGATTTGATATCATTGGTAGTAATGGATCTGTTCAGATTTTCTGATTTTTCTTGATTCAGTCTTGGAAAAATGTATGTTTCTAAGAATTTATCCATTTCTTCTAGATTGTCCAATTTGATGGCATATAATTGTAGTGTTTTCTTTCTATCCTTTGTATTTCTCTGGTGTCAGTTGTTATTTCTGCTCTTAAATTTCTGAATGTATTTATTTGGATCTTCTCTCTTTTTATCTTGATGAGTCTGGTTAAAGGTTTATCAATCTTGTTTATCTTTTTAAAAAACCAGCTCTTGGCTTTATTGATCTTTTCTGCTGTTTCTTTTTTTTAGGCTGTATTTTGTTCACTTCTGCCCTGAACTTAATATTTTCTTCCTTTGACTCCCTTTGAGCTTTATTTGTTGTTATTTTTTTCTAGTTCCTTTAGGTATAAGGTTAAATTATTTATTTGAGACTTTTTTTTTTTTTTGGTCCTTGACATAGGCCTGTAATGCTATGAATTTCCCTCTTGGGACTGCTTTATCTGCTTCTCATAAATTTGAGGTCACTTTTTTTCCATTTTCATTTGTTTCAAAGTAGCTTTTGTTTTCTTCCTTGACCTCATTGCTAACCCATTTTTTGTTCAGTAACATGTCACTTAGTCTTCATGTGTTCGTGTTTTTCAGTTTTTTTCCTCATAACTGATTTCTAGTTTCATAACACTGTGGTCAGAGAAGATGCTTGATATTTTCAGTCTTCTTATATTTACTGAGACTTGTTTTGTGACCTAACATGTGGTCTATCCTGAAAAATGTTCCATGTACACTTAAAATGTTCCATATAAAAGGATGTATAGTCTGTGGCTTTCAGGTGAAATGCTCTGAAAATATTAATTAAATCTATCTGGCCTAGTGTGTCATTTAAAGCCACTGTTTCCTTTTTGATTTTATGTCTGGATGACCTATCCATTGATGTCAGTGGCTGTTAAAGTCTTCTACTACGATTCTGTTACTGTCAGTCTCTCCCTTTATGTTTGTTAGTATTCGCTTCATACATTTAGGTGCTCCTACATTGGGTGTGTAAATATTTACAAGGGTTGTATCTTCTTGTTGAAGTGATCCCTTCATCATCATGCAATATTCTTCTTTGCCTCTTGTTATATAGCCTTTGTTTTAAAGTCTGTTTTTTCTGATATAAGTATTATATTCTACATTATATTTGTTCTGTATAATTATGCTTTCCCTTTTTCTTTCTTCTTCTTCTTAAAGGAGTCCCTTTAGCATTTCTTGTAATACTGGAACAATGAGCATTTGATGGCAATGACCTCTTGTAGCTTTTTCTTGTCTGGGAAGCTCTTTCTCTCCCCTTCAGTTTTAAGTGATAGCCTTGCCAGATAGAGTAGTCTTGGTTGTAGGTCCTTGCTTTTCATCACTTTGAATATTTCATTCCAATCCCTTCTGGCCTGAAGTGTTGCTGTTGAGAAATCAGCAAGTCTATGGGAGATTTCTTCTAAGTGACTAACTGTCTTTCTCTTGCTTTTAATATTCTCTCTTTGTTTCTAACCTTTGGCATTTTCATTATGATGTACCCTTGTATGGGCCTCTTTGTGTTTATATTGTTTGGGATTCTCTGCATTTATGGACTTCCGTGTCTTTTTTTTGGCTAAGTTAAGGAAACATTCACTCATATTTTTTTAGAAAATAGGTTCTCAATTTCTTGCTCTCTCTTCTCCTTTTGATACCCCTATGATGCTAATGTTGTTGTTATACTTGATGCTGTCCCAGATGTCACTTAAACTATTATTTTTAAAAATTGGGGTTTTTTTTGTTTTTGCTGTTATAATTGTGTGTTTTCTGCTACCTTTTCTTCCCAATCACTGATCTGATCCTCTGTTTCATCTAATGTGCTGTTGATTTTTTCTAGTGTATTCTCCATTCCAGTTATTGCATTCTTCATTGCTGACTATTTATTTTTTTCTAGTTTCTATTTTTTTTTAGGCTTACTATGTCTTTTTTTGAAGTTCTGAGTTCATGGGTTCTTCCCCTAGGTTTTTTAAGCACCCTTATAATCAGTGATTTGAACTCTGTGTCTGGTGGATTGCTTGTCTCCATTTCGTTTACTTCTTTTCCTGAAGCTTCGCCCAGTTCTTTCCTTTGGCACATGTTTCTTTGTTTCCTCATTTTGGCTGCTTCTCTGTGATTGTTTCCGTGTATCAGGGAGCTCAGGTAAAGTGATCTTATGTAGTAGGTGTTCCCAGGGACCAGTGATGCAGTCTTCCCCATCACCTGAGCCAGCTGCTCTTGGAGTATTGCTCAGGTGGGTTGTGGGGTCCTTCCTCTTGTAGTTGAGACCTGATTGCTGGTGCTGCTTTTGAGAGGGTGGGTTTGGCCCTCAGGCTGCTGGCTGGCTGGCTGTGAAGATGGCTGTGAGGACTGGCCATGACCACAGTGTACAAGCTGCTGTTTAGAGGCTGACTCCATGGAAGGGGATTTCCCGCAGTGGGGTCTGGTGCCGGCTGAGACCTCTCTTTGGGTGTGTTGCTTGGGAAGCTAATTGGGTGGTACTGTTGTTTTCTGCAGCTGACCACCTGGTTCTGGGGCCTCTTGGGAGGGACTCTGGCACAAGTCAATGTCAGATGCTGCCTGTGATGCATCAGGGCCACCTGTTATGAGCTATGATGTGATCCACAGTTGGTCTCTGCCTGTGCTGGGCCTGGGTTCATGTGGTAGGGGCCACCAGATCTGAGGCTGGCTACCACCAGTTCTTTTGATCACGAGGGGCAGGTGATCAAAAGACTCAACACACCCCAAGACCTGCCTCCACTTTCCAAAGGACTATAAGGCCCAGCTGCTGAAAGAGCTCCAGGCAGCATGCAAGTCGGGTGAGGTGAGGTCTTGGGGAGTCAGCAGGGTGGAGAGGGAGGCATTCACCAGGCTGATACAGGTTCAGATGTGGTTGAAGCACTGGACCAAGCTCCTCTGCAAATGACTCATGGTACACCAAGGTCTGATGCCTCCCACTCGCAGCCTGTAGACCCTTGTGGCTGGTGTGGGATCTCGAGGAGTCATCTGTGTGGAGCTAATGGAGTTTACCAGGCTGATGTCGGTTCAGACTTGGTCATGTGGGGTTTGGGCTCCACACAGGGACAGTGGACGTCATGCCGCCAGCCCTTGCCACACAACTCAGTTTTTCCCTGAATGTTTCTGGTGCACTTGGAGCTTGATGGAATTCCTGGAGAGTTTTCTAAGAAAGATTGCGTGCAAGCCCAGGCTCGTTGGCACTGAGAGAGCCTGGGGACACGTGCAAACTGGACAGGGACATGTCTCAGGGAGTCATCAGGGCGGAGCCAGCGGAGGTCACCTGGCTAACGTAGATTCAGATCAGGCTGTGTGCAGGGAGGGCTCAACACAGGGACAGTCTCGGTCATCCCTTGGCACCTCACCCTACACCGCAGAACTCAGTGTCTCCCTATGTGTCTCTGGGACTCCCCAGGCTGCTGTCCCTTCACGGAGCCCAAGGTGAGTGCCCTTAAAATGAATTTGTGCAATGGCCCTTTAAGAGGATGCCTGGGTTTCCAGCAGCCTTCCTGCTCACCCATAGGGATGGAATCCCTGCTGATTTTCACAGCCAGATGTTATGGGAGCTACTCTCCTGGCAGGGGTGTTCCAGGCTGGGGACCTGGTGTGGAGCTGAGACTCCTAAGGGGGGATCTCTAAGTAGAGATATCCCCTTGGATTCTCAGCCACCACATGTGGGTATCACAGGGCTGGCCCCTTTTGCATCTTTATCCCTCCTTCTGGCTTTAAGTGACTTCTTTATATCCTTAGTTTTAGGTTTTCTGTTCAGCTCTTTTTCAGGTGGTTATCTAAGTTGATTGTTCTATAATTGGATTATAATTTCAATGTGGTTGTGGGAAGAAGTGAGTGGACGTCCACCTACTCTGCCATCTTGATCGGAACCCAAAGGGGTTTCCTGATTTTGAAAGTGCCTTTAAAGTTCTGCATCCCGATTCAGACGTAACTTTATTTTACACAAGCCATGCTTAACACTGTAGTTTTTCATTTGTGGCATTTCTTTACCAGTTAAATGCCACTCACCACTGACTTTAAAATTCTAGCTTGGAGAAACTGTTTGGATTAAGAAAATAATGTTTAATCCTACTAATGCAAAGGTTTTGTGTTTCAGGTCCGACTACAGCCACATGTCCTCCACAAGCAGTAAGTACGGTTTAAATGTCCTTCCCCGCTGTCTTCACAGTCCCCCAGGGGCCAGTCCCATCTCTGCACAGAGAGAAGGCCATCTATGTGACCCGGGCTTTAATAGTAAGACTCCCCGAAGGTTTTCTCGCCAAAGAACGTGAGCCAGTCCTCCAGCTCTGGGGGGCTCTTCCTGGAGGCTTTGATTGTACCTTGATGGCTGGACGAGCTCGGCCGCTGCTCTCCCTGTGGAAATTTAGCCTGGAGGAACCCACTCGGGCTTTCTTAGCACATATGCTCTAAAACACCTTCTGTAAAGAATGGGGGTAACCCATTCATTCAGCAAAGATTTATCAAATGCCTGCTGCTTGAAGGCTGAGGGCTCAGAGCACATTAATTGGACCCATGGAGTGGCCCCAACTCATCTCTTGGGCAAATTTCCCCAGATATCATAGGTTATGATGATATATGGTTACAAATGATTATATATGGTTAAAAATGTTCATAAACACACCCCGAGCATAAAAAAAGTGCCTCTGTATTAAATATTAAATTAAAGGTGTGGATTTATTCATGGGAAATTTGACCTTCCCTCTAGGAACAATTTATAGCAATTAAGATCATTATATATAAATCACCAAAGTCATTCACCTGATTAAACACATTTTAAAATAACAACAAAAAAAGTCTTATGGTAAAACCCTGATTTTTCAAGTCAGAATAAAACAATTCAGTATTTACTCTCTCACTGTCCTGTTAAATTCTTAATTCTAAATAGTTCCCAGTTGGAAAGACACTTGATTGGGTTATTCTGCTTGCTGATGTTCTGGCTTAGCTTTTCTTTGCAATAAGAGACTGCGCACAAAAGCCATACATCTGAAATTGTAGTTTAGTGTCAAATCATATTAAGTTATGAGCATAACTACCAGGAGCAATTTCTGGTTATCTCAGCCAACTGCAGCCTCAGTATTGCCCCTTAGTTATTAAAAACCATTAGTAGCTAATGAGAATAATGCTCCAGTGTTTTTCATTCACTCCCCGAAGCTTCTCTCTAAAAACAGCGAATGCTCTCTTGAACTCTCTCTGTATGGCCATTTTTGTTCCACTCAGTTTTGCCCAGAGGCTATATTTTTTTAAAGAGCAATTTGTATAAAACACTTACGAGAAGACTTTGCTCAATTGGTAACTCTCATATCAGCCCTCTGAGTCACAACAAAACACCTCTCTTGTCAGGAAAACAGGTAATTTGGTTTGGGGTGTTTTCCTCTTCGTTATTTTAATTGCAGTCTCTGAACTGGAATTTCTCTTCATGCAACTGGGATCAATAGCCTTTTATTGCTCTTTCTTTTCTCTCTAAATATTTGCTGATTTCTGCCTCACTCTTCAGTGCAGGGCCCTCTTGGCAAGTGAGAATATGTTTCATATCTCAGTTAGGAAATGTATTTGGCTACAGATAATAGAGAATAAATAAAGACGTGAACAAGCAGGGGTTCATTTTTCTCTAACAGTAATAAAAGAAAGTCCAGGGGAGGCAGTGCAGGTGTGGTATAAAAACTCCTTCAGTTGTTCTGCTGCAGCGTCCTTGACTCTTGGCTTCCATCCCCAGGGTTGCCTCTGGGTCACAAAAGGGCTGCCTCTAGCATAGCCATCACATCCTTGTTCTGGGCAGGAACAAGGGATGAGTGGATCCAGGTGGTGGGTCCCTGGCTGTCTCTGTCCATTGTCCAGTATGTCGTTGCCTGGCCTGTGTTTCCTCCCAGCCAGGAACGTTCCCAGCCAGACCCATACGTAAGCAGTCAGTGAAAGACAATAGAGTGGACCCTTTCTGATAAGAAAAAATTTTTTCTTAAGTCTAGAGTCCTAAATCTATCCTTTAAAACAGTAGTTCAAGAGCATGGTAATAATTAAAAAGTATCTTCCTAGTAGATTTGAAACATGGCATTTCTCCACAAACAAAGGAATCTCACTGAGGACTGAGTGGGGAGAAATCCCATGTGTTCAGCGTCCATCCTGAAGGGTTCAAGGCCGGGGCTGCTCTGCCCTCACAGCCGACCCGGCGCCTGTGCCCTCCATGTGACCAGCAGGGGCCAGAGGGTGACCATCCAGCTCCCACGTGTCCGTCCTGGGAGCTGCCCCTGCATCTCATTGTCATTCCCCTGCCCTCAGTCAGGCTGCCTCCCCTGGTGGCTGGTTTCTGAATGGTCCCTGGTTCCAGATGGGAATGCGAACGTCGACTGTGACCACTCACTGGGAAGAGATGGGTTTTTCTGTGTGTGCGAATGGTTCTTCTTGAACATCCGGGCGATGCTCTTTTGCCCATTTGTTCTGAGTTCACGGGGACATAAAGGTTACCTCGGAGAGATGGAGGGTCAGAGTCTGAGAGTCTACAGTCGATTCTCGTCCTTGACAAAAAACGGTCAGGAGAGCCTCCCCCGAGAACCCCACCCTTTCTGTGTCATCCTCGTTTCCCTCAGAATGCAGAGGCTGCTTCCGAGTGCCACCTTCCCCTCATGGGACGAGAAGCGAGGTCACCGCCGAGACAAAGCACTAGCGCAGTGGTGCAGGGTTCGGTGTCCTGGGTCCCGGTCCTGGCTCCGCCCTGAATGAGCCCACGTTCTCACACACACCAGGCAGCTTCCCTGGCTGTCCCTTTTTCTCTATAGAATGAGGCTGGGTGGTCTCCATGGACTTTTCCAGAAGCTCTGGGATGCTAAGCCGTGCACGGCTTAGAAAATCCTCCGAACAGAGAAAAGGAAGGGAGGAGGAAAGGAGTCCAGAACCGAGGAGCCCGAGCCTTTTTTCTCTGTCCCTGAATAGAGTCTGGAGGGTGTGCACCCTGCCCGGGGCCCCCAGGCCTTAATCTCCAAGCCAGGGCTGTTCACCCTCAACCTTGAGCTTCTGTACTGTGAGCTGCCCGTAAGCCGGTGGCAGTAGAGACACAGTGGTGAGGGGCTGTTGCTGCTTTTTAGTCCCCCTCCCCTAGGAAAACATGGACACGGTGCAGGGCTGGGGAGGCGCGTGCGTAGCCAGGCGTCCCGTGGCTGGGCGTCTTCAGCCTCGTGGATCATGGAATTGTGTGTCACGTAGGAACCACCATTTACTTTCAAACGAAGGTTGTAACCCGACTTGAAGAACTACTCCCAGAAGATGTGGAGAGCTTTAGAGTGAAATTTTTAGGGTGGCGTAACATTTCTTGAGGCTCTGTGTTGCCAGAATGGTGCCGGTAGGAGGTGGTCAGAGAACGGAGCAGTTCCGTCCGTGTGAGACCACTCTCTAGTTGCCCTCCTCGTTTGGCCCCACAGCTCTCCCACCCAAAACTCGGTCTTGAGAAGCCACCCTCCCCGCCTGCAGTGCTTAATGGCTCTGACCGCTACTTGGGAACTGATTCAGTTGGTGGTAAATGATTATGGCTGTTGCCTCGGAAACCTCTTGTCCCACCCACACTGAACATGGGTTTGTTCAGTGCAGTCCAGCTACGTGACTTCATTTCATGTACTTGTTTGTTGTCTCCGGCACATAGTAGGTGCACAGTAAACATTCCCTGACCAAATAAACGACTGCACCTGAGTGAATTCTGGAACACGGTATGGACGCTTGTTAAATCCTGACCTCGGTGAGGCCTCTCCTTTGGAATGAGAGGTTTGGACCCTCAATTCGATACACTGACCACTGGGAAGGGGGTGCTTTTGGGGGCACACTGGTTTGCCGGTTCTTGGAGGAGGGCCAGTCTGGCAGGCACTGGGCAGTTGAAGGTGGTATTGTAGGCAGGCTGGTGTGAAGCCCCCGGGGTGCAGAGACTGACCTTGAGGGGTGCAGTGCAGGCAGCATTGAGGTGGTCCAGCATCAGGATGGCATTGGGCAGAAGGGCCTTTGTCCATTCCTCCGGCCTCAAGTTTAGGACGTCGGCATGGGTCAGGGATTACCGGGAACTGCCCAGGCCCGACGGTTATTCCACTCCCAGCAGAAGCTTCCACCCACATGGCCCAAAGCCGCTACGTCACAGGATCGCAGCTCAACCGAGCAGCCTGAGGTTTGGGCCAGGAAACCAACAGGACGGCTCCAAGGAGGGTGGACTTGAGAGGCGGGAGAGTTCCCTGGCAGGAAGGGAGGCTCCGCACTGCCCTTGAGTGGTCGGTTCACATTTCACCTGCAGAGTGGGGAGAGCACCTTCATCAGTGTTGTTTTAGAGATGAGACGGGACGCTTTTCGGACAATGTCTGGCAGGTAATAAGAGCTTAACACATGGTGGTTATTGTCTAAATTATTTTCCATTAAACTTGAGACAAAAAATAGGGATATATAGGAGAGATGAAACATTAGGAAAAAATATAACCAATAGGTCGAAAGCGCCATTTCTGCCTTAGAAAAGGCCTGACTCTGTGCAGTCCTTAAAGCTGTTTCTGGTTTGTGTTACGAAAGGAAGAATCTAGTTCTCTATAATCCCATGGGAAAGACTCCTCCTTGGCCTCTAGGAAAGTGCAAACTGATCAGAAAGCGCCTTCAATGGCGCAGGGACAGCTCCCGTTTTGCGCCAGCCCCGAGGAGGTCTGTCCGTGACGGTTTGTATTTGCTCTGTGTCTCGCCCTCCTGGAACAGGTGCTGCGCGGGGGCCTTTGGGAAGACATGTAACAGATACGATAAAGGCAGAGCCCGTCCCCCGCCGCAGCGGCTCTGCTTCTCCAGGGAGGCAGAGAGGCTTTTCCTGACAATTAATTATTCACATTTTCTCTCCTCCTCAAATACTTGGTTTTCTGTCCAGCTCCACGGAGGCAGATTTTTTCCTCGGGTGCACGTGTAACCCTAGTGCTCAACGACGGTGTGACGGTGCCTCCTGCAGCCCTTCAAGCCTGTTTATTTTAGGCTCCTGGGCACATGCTGGCCGTGGCTAGGGCAACTAATGCTGCCACTCACGCTCCCTCCCGTTTTCGGGGTAGGAATCGGGCACCAACATCTCCCTGATTCTTGCAGTGCCCCGGGAGGGAGCTCTGGAGTCCGGCCAGCTGGCTGCACCCAGAGCTGCCTGGGCGAGCTGTTGCTGAGCCGGTGCTCAGGCCTGCTGGCCCACCCCCTGCTCCAAGGCTGGGCATCTTGCCCTTTAGCAAAGCTGTGAACATTCACTCAGCTGTGCAGGCTCAGTGTGGCCTTTGTTACTGCTCCCTGGGAAACTTCTGTGCGGCCGACAGAAGTGGCCCGATGCTGAGCACCCTTGGAGCACTGACTTGGAGACTCAGAGGCTCCTTGCACCCAGGCCGTTCCCACTGCCTGTGGGCTTTCTCTGTGGTGCGTTAGCATCCTCATTACCTTCGTTTCATGGCTACACCCACCTGCGTGCTGGCCTGTTTCACCATCCCTGCGGGTGGTGCCAGCTCTGACCGTGTAAAGACCTGGGTGTGGTTTCTGGGTTACTCTTCCTCAGAGACCCAGGACCAGGAGACGGACATGTATGTGAGCTTCACATGTATGTGAAGCTATGGGCTGGTGGCCAAGAAGCTGGCCAGTCAGAAGGAGGCAGGCGAGCCGTGGAGAGGGGTGGGATAATAGCAGTGTGGTCAGAGATGGCTGGAGAGGGGCAGCTGCTCATGCTGCTGCAACACCAGTACAGCAGACGGCGTGAGCACACACAGTGTGACTGCACACACAAAGTAAGTCGGACGCTGGGCGATGGGGACAGGGTGCCTCACCGCTTCACCCCTCGATTTCCTGCTCCCTAAAGTGGAGACAATGATAGCACCCCCCTTCTAGGGTGGCTCCGAGGGCTCAAGTGAGGTCATACACACAGAACACCAAGGAAGCGCCAGCCCGCCCCCAGTGCACGCCACACAAGTGTTAGCGAACACTGTCCCTGCAGGTACGTGGCCACGTGCGCACCTGAGTGTGGGGCGGGATCCCCGCAGGATCGCCTGCCAGCTCGGACCGTCTCCTCTCCAAGATGCTGCCTCTGCAACACGTGCTCTCCCACCACCCACTTCCCAGAAACCATCTGTAAATCTTCTCGAGTAAATCGCATCCTGAAATTGTGCAAGGCCTTCCTGCTCCCTTTCCTCTCTCACGAGCACCCACCATTCATGTTCGGCAAAGTCACGCGTCTCCGCTGTTGGGAGACCCGGGCACCGTGGAAAAGTGAACTATGCATTTTAGATGATTACGGTATCTTCTCCTCTCTCTACTGGAGCTCCTGACTGACGGAAGATTTCAGCACTTGGCATTTCACTGCTTTTGTCTCTAGGCACTTCTGCTGCTAGTGATGCAAATAATGTTCAACGCAACAGCAAGTGGCCCAGGTGAGCAGAAAGAGCAAGCAAAGAAAAGAGACAGAATAATCCATGAACTCGGGTTACCTTTTAAGCCATCATGTTGCCTGGTTCAGATGCCTATGGGGGCGCGCGTTTATGAGACAGCTGCATAAAGGCGGGAATATGGCCCAGAGGTAATCTTTAAATTCAGCCCATCACCTAAGCAACACACAGGTCCCGTGGCCAACAGGACTTTTCTCCTACGAGTCATTCAGATACCTCTGGCCAAAGTGGAACTTCTTATCTTTCCCTGCAGACTTGCCCTTCTTCCAATATTTATTAGCTCAGTTAGGCATCAATGTCAGACCAGTTGCTCAAGCTGGAAATATCAAGGCGTACTCCTCTCCTGCTTTTCCTGCTCTCACCCCCAGGCCATGTGGCTGTCAGGTGTGCTTCCTAAATAGCTCCCAAATCCATGCCTCTTCCGTGCACCCAAAGACTCTGCCTGCATCTATACTACAGTGGTGTAACAAATGCCCCCAAACGGTGGCATAAAACGGCGGTCATTCATTACTTCCCATGCGCTGTGGGTCAGCTGATATAGACCCACAGGGCTTTGCTGACGGGGCTTTGCTGGGTGTCTCGTACCACATATCTCTGAGTGTCTGCAGTCGGCATCCAAACCGACCTCAGTCTTAAATGTTAGACTTGACACCATAAAAATCCTAGAAATAATATAGGCAGTAAAATCTGACATTTCTCATAGCAATTTATATTCTGATATATCTCCTCAAGCAAGGAAAACAAAAGAAAAAATGAGCAAATGGGACTACATCCAACTACAAGGATTTTGCACAGTGAAGAAAACCATCAACAAAATGATAAGACAACCTCCTGAGTGGGAGAACATATTTGCCGTTGCAACTTAGAAGGGTTAATATCCAGGATTTATAAAGAAATTTTAAAACTCCACACCAAAATAAGCAAACAATCTAATTAAGAAATGGGCAAAGGACCTGAAAAGACACTTCTCCAGAGGACACACAGATGGCCAACAGACAAGCAAAAAGATGCTCAACATCACTAATCATCAGAGAAATGAGAATCAACCACAGTGAGACATCATCTCACCCCTGTCAGAATGCCTATCATCAGTAAGTCAACAAACAACAGGTGCTGGCGAGGCTGTGGAGAAAGGGGAACCCTTGTGCACTGTTGGTAGAAATGCAGACTGGTGCAGCCACTGTGGAAAGCAGTATGGAGTTATCTCAAAAAATTAGAAATGGAATTGCCTTATGACCCAGTGATTCCACTTGTAGGAATTTATCTGAAAAAAACTTAAGACATTAATTCACAAGAATATTTGCACCCCTGTGTTCATTGCAACGCTACTTACAACAGCCAAGATTTGGAAGCAGCCTAAGTGCCTATTAGTAAATGAGTGGATAAAACAGCTCTGGGACATTTACACAATGGAATACTACTTGGCAGTAAAAGAGAAAATTTTACCCTTTGAGACAGCCTTGATGGACCTGGAGGACATTATACTATGTGAAATAAGCCAGTCAGATAAAGACAAGTAGCATATCATTTCACTCATGTGCAGAATCTAATGAACAAACTGAACTAACAAGCAAAATAGAGGCAGACTCATAGGTAGAGAGCAGGCTGACAGCTCCAGGGGGTGGTGGGGGAATTGTGGGGGCTGGAAGGACTGAGCAAGACAGAAAAGAGAAAGAACTCATGGACACGGACAGCAGCATCGTGATTGCAGAGGGGAGGGGGGTTCATGGAAGTGGCAGAGGGTACGGGGTGATAAATGAAATAATATTGTTATAAATGAAAAAAGAAAAGAAAGAATGCCATTCAAGTTCTATCAATAAAACAGCTTATATAAAAAGTATCTCACAGTATTAAAGGAGGGTGTTGAAATATAACTTCAGTGTCTTACAAATGACCTTTATACTATGATTTCATAAAACATTGGCCTTGACTGTGGTCCAGTAAGAGTATGACTGTGTGTATTCCTAGTGGGGGGGGGGCAGTGTATTTGCTGCCAAGTAGATGCTCAATAAATATGCATCTGAGCAAAGCATTATATTATATAATTTTTGTGGAGTTTAGCAGAGCACAGCAAAACTTCATCACGCATCTCACTCATCCATGAGAAGAAAATTAAAGAAATAAATGAATGAATAAAAAGATTTCTTGACTGCTCTTGAAGAAGTCATAAAGCATATATAAATGCAAAGAGAGCACATCTTTTCAAAAAGCAGGACTTTTATCAGGTTATTTGACGAAATATGCTGAATATTTATGAATTATAAATATGCTGGTGTGGCCGGCAAACTGTTCACCCCATTGAACAGTGTTGCCCTGTTAAACAGTCTCCTTCTCACTGGGAACCGAAGCTTCCAAATGCCCCGCCAGAGGCCACAGGGAGGCCCACTGCCCGTTTAGGCTGCATGGGCCTCTGGATGGATGTGGACGGAGGACAGGCCCCAAAGTGGCTGTACACAGGCAGCAATGGTGCCACCTCGGGACCCCCGCCTTCAGCCATGGCCCCAGTAAGCTCAGGCACTCGAACCCTGTGCTTGTCCCTGAACTGTCCTTCCCTGTGTTTGCGGCAACAAGGTGGCCAGGACACTGTTGGCAGGTGGCCTGGACAGCTGGGGTTTGCTCCATCAATCAGAGTGTGTGTCTAGCACAGCACCTAGCACAGGGCGTGAACAAAAGATTGCATAAATATTTGTTAGATGAAAAAATAAGCCGATGAAATGAGCAAACAGAAGGAGTACAGTGACAGGGGACATTTGCGGGGTGAGGCGCAGCAGTTACCTGGGGGAATACTGAATGGTGCGCACTGGACGCTGCAGCGTCTCCTCCGTTGGGCCTGATACCCCTTCCGGATCAACGGAGACTTGACTCTCTAGTGCCTGATAGAAAGCACATTCGACCCGGTGAAGTGCAAGAGCCAAGTTTTCCTAACCCGGCCCAGCGTGGGAACCATTCACTGCGATGGTTCTTCTGCCCGTGGCTGCTAGGGTCCTGCCACCGTAGCTTTTGCACATGAACTTGGTTGGGATCAGAAAATCATAACGATCATGGAGCCAGTTCAGTTAGAACTTAGCTTCTCTTCCTGCCGAGGCTCTGCATGTCATCACGGGACACCTGAATGACAAAGTCACCATTTGGGGTTTTTGTTTTTCTTTTTGTGCCCCCAGGTGAGCTTTCCGTGGAGGAGGCACAGGACCCTTTCCTGGTGAGCATCCACATAATCGCAGACCCTGGGGAATCCCGGCCCCTGCAGGAGGCCATCGACAAGGTCTTGGCCTGGATCCACCCCGACCTGCAGCTGTTCCGGGTCTCGGAACGCAAGGCGGCCCGGCGACGGCGGCGGGCCCCGCGGGGGACGCAGCCCGCGCTGGCCGTGCTCCTGTTCCTGCAGGAGGACTTCGGCGAAGAGCACATCCTGCGGCTGCATCGCGCGCTGCGGCGGCCACCCTGGCGCCACCACCACACAGAGCGCGTGCCCGGCAGGCTCCTGCCCTACCTGCCGGGCAGCCAGGACTTCTTCACGCTGGCGCCCGGGACGCCGCTGTGGGCCGTGCGGCCAGTGCACTACGGCCGGGAGATCGTGCGCTTCACCGTCTACTGCCGCCACGACCACTACGCCGACAGCCTCAAGTTCTACGAGCTGATCCTCAGGCGCAGCCCCAGCCAGCGGAAGAAGGACTTCTGCATCTTCCCCATCTTCTCCAACCTGGAGGTGGACATCCAGTTCTCGCTCAAGAGGCTGCCCTGCGATCAGAGCCCGACCCCCACCGAGTGCGCCGTGCTGGAGTTCCGCGTGCGGGACCTGGGCGAGCTGGTGCCCCTGCTGCCCAACCCCTGCAGCCCCATCAGTGAGGGCCGCTGGCAGACGGAGGACCACGACGGGAACAGGATCCTTCTGCAGGTACCCTGCGGGCGGGAGGGGGTCCGACGGGGTCTGTCTCCCTGTCTGTTTGGGGGCAAAGGGAAAAAGTGGGTTGGCTCTGCTAGAACCCCAAGTGAGTACCTGTTAGGGACGGAGCCCCGAGGTCAGAAAAAGAAGGGGCCCGCGGCCTCAGGCTGGGCCCAGGTGTCCACAGGATACCCCAAACCGCAAGGAGGGTGCTTTCCATCTGTTCTTTTCACTGTAGGGTCGCGGCCACGGGCCTCAGGCATGTGGCTGCCTCTCCCCCACCCCCACTCCCTGCTCTTCGCCCACCTGTGTCTGCGCGCCCCTAGATGCGCGTGGCTCCTGGAGATTACAGAGGCGCTTATATCCCGGAGCACTGGCTGTGAAAGATTCCTGAACGTGTCCCGCACGCTGAGGGAGTTTCACCAATGTGTCCCCCCCAAAGGAACTTCAGGAAAACCCACCTATGAAAATTGTGAAAAATATCCCGCTCAGTAGAGATCTGTTTTCTCCTTCATTCTGGTGCGGCTTGACCCTCGACCCTTCCACGGCCCGGCCGTGAGTTGTTACAGTTCAGTGACCACTTGAAAGATGACGTCCTCATAAACGTTTTAAGGAGAAGGTGATGGCTTTGGACCTTCTGGTGTCATTAAGCTTAGGAAAAGGTCAGTGAACACGTTTTAAGGAAATTTCCAGTGAATTTTCTTCCCGTTAATATTTTTATGAGAGATAAAACCAAACTACCCCCAAAGTGTTGGAAATTAGAATTTTGTTTAAAATCACTCTGCTACTCCCACCGAACCAGAGCACAGTGGTCCACTTTCTTCCAGTGTTTTCGCCATGTAAGATGGACATGTTCATTTTCTTAAATTTTCTTTCACTTTTTCTTCCTCATTTATCCCCAACAATGTACAGAAGGAAACTTGCTAAGTGGGCTTCAGACCTTTCGATTGGTTTTCTCTTTCCCACCACCAGCCTTTCCCCTCCCGAATGGAAGGTCAAAGGTTACTTTGACTTTAAGGAACTTGTCGCCTGATTTTCGGCTTCATGCTGAGAGTGAGGCCCGGAACCCTCTGGAACATCGTGCAGAGGGACTCCGTCTCCTCCTTCTTACTCAGGCACAGCTCGGCCTCCCCGAGGGTCTAGGTTCCATAGTTTGGACTTCTGTCATCTCGAAGGAACCGCATGCTTCCCAAGGAGGCCTGGAGGGGCACCTGCCTGACAGCCCAGTTCAGTGTAGCAGTGCCCCTGTCCCCGTGCCCGCTCACAGCAGGCTCTCAGCGAACACCTGCTCTTAAAACCCCATGGTGCACACGCCAGCTGGCCTCTCGTCTAGAACCATCCCCCAGCACAGGGGAGTGGAGGGGGCTCCTGGCCCCTCTGTGGCCCCTGCTGTGGTCATTCGTCACCAGCAAGTCTCAGGCCCGAGGCAGGGGCCCTCACCCTACTCTCCGGATGACCCCTGGCGGCCACCCCTCCCTCTGCTGTGAGGACCAAGGGTCGGGAGGGGGAGACAGCAGACCCAGAAAAGGCAGGGAAGGCGTGAAGGGCCTCAGCCAAGGAGGGGGGCAGGCGGCAGCGGGAGGCCGAGCCTGGGCCAACCCCAGGCCTTTCACACAAGGAGCTCTGCACATTTGCCGCTGATAGCAGTTGGCTCGTGCGCCCCCATGCCGCCCCGGCTCCCGGGAGGCCCAGGGGGACTCCACCTGCCGGCGGTTCTGGCAGAAACTGGCTCTCCACAAGCACTATCTCTGGGAGGAAGAAGATGGCCGGACTGGCTGGTGCTGCTCCAAGCAGAAAGACCCTGAATGGTCCCAGGCCTCTTTGCCCCTCACCCGCCCCCTGGACCTCCCTGCAGCCCCGAAGAAGGGAGCTTACCTCCCTAAATACGAGGACATTGTGTAGCCCTGGCTGAAGTGACTGTGATGAACAACATCACCATGGTGTCTCCCAGCGGGGCTCTCCTGTGGCCAAGGAAACTTTTCTGAATGGGCTTCAGCCCAGTGACTTGTAAGTAGGGGGCACCCTGGTGAAGACAGACATTCTGCCGGAGCCTGCAAATACCGCTCATCTGCTCAGGGAAGGAAGCAAGTCAACAGTCTCTCTCGGGTTGACATATCGAGAATGTTATATAAGGCTATGTAGTTTCGTTTTTATTTCTTCAATATTTTCTGATTTGGCATTTTTTAAATTATATACTGCCTTACTTCTAAAAACTTTTTAAGTAAATATACATTTCAGGCTACTTGTCCTGAGTAAGACATCAGGAAGCGTGTAGTAAGGGGTAGAGAGAAAGGAATTGGGGGTGAACTACTGAGCTTCCTGGAAGCAACAGCACAAAGAGAAACCCAGTGTTCATTGTTTGATTGGGAAAAAGAAAAACCCAGGTCTGAAAACACAAACATCTTGGCGGGGATAAATGGTAATGAAAAAATACAATAAAAATTAAAAAGTAGAATAGAATAGAACAGAATTGAATTGAATTGAATTTGTTGTGTTTCAAGGAATTTGGTCGGTTAAAACAAAAGCTCAATGTGTGCTTCCAATTTAAAACGTAGTTTAGAATAGACTGATACCGTTTTAAGTTGAGGAATATAAGGGTAAGCTTTAGGAAATTTTTAACATCGAAACATTTAAGAGGATTCAGTATTTGCCATGTTTAATTGATTATATTTACAAAAGTTATTGAAGTGCTTAAAAGTTTTGTTTTTCAGACCACTGAATTAACTTTAAAAAGAAAATCAATAGTTTAAGATATTAAAGGAAATTAGTTAATTAAGCTGAAAGAACCCTTTTAAAACTGTGTTAATTGATAACATTTTGCTAGATTTGAGTGTCGAACTTAGTAAATTTAAGAAAGAAATGGGCTTGACATTGGTAACTTTAATTAAGTGGATATTAATTTTTCAAGTGTAGCTTTTGGCTATTTTTCTGTGCACAAAAGCAGGTCAGAAAACCCACGTTGGTACTCCGGAATTGTAACAGAGTGACTAACGGAAGGTTCATTTAACACCATCCGGAACTAGTCCAAGTGTGAATGGGACACGGTCTGGAAGACAGTGGCAGACCCAAGGACCCGGCTGAAGGCCTGGGCCAGTCCAGGCCCCGTGAGGCAGTCCAGGGGCCACTCTCGCTGGCAGCATTCCGAGACAGGGCCTCTTTACCCAGGGCTCCCCCAGGTCCCGCAGAAATGGGGATCTGGCCCACGTCCTCAGTGGTCTTCTGCACGCCCAGGGTGAACCCAACCTGAAGCAGTGACCCTGTGCCCATCTCGGTCCTTTGGCCCTGGGGCAACAGCAGGTCAAAGTGGTTTGTAATTCTTCAGGCAAATGGCCAACCGACTACAGGTCGCATTGTTGCCCCATCCGAAAATGCAAGCCTGAAATCGTTCCTCCTGTATAATATATACACCGTCTCTAATCTTATCTTCAGTGAAGATGCTTATTTATTGACATATTCGTTGCATATCTATCAAGTTGTCCCATCTTTAGGTCCTTCTCTTTCCGCATCTATGTCTTTTTTTTTAAGATTTTACTTACTTTATATTTAGACAGAGGGGAAGTGAGGGAGAGAAACATCAATGTGTGGTTGCCTCTCATGTGCCCCCTACCAGGGACTTGGCCCACAACCCAGGCATGTGCTCTGACTGGGAATCAAACCAGCAACCCTCTGGTTCACTGGCCGGTGCTCAGTCCCCTGAGCTACACCAGCCAGGGATGCATCCATGTCTTGAATAGTAAGCACGTCAAAGACAGGATTTTTTTTTTAATTTAATATTATTGCTTTCTTTTCAACCACCCAAGAAATGCCACACACAGTTCTTGCCTGGACGGCACCTGAGGATATAAGGAGTAACGACAGTGAGTTCTTGACATACTCCTGGCATGCTTCCTATTAACCCACAAAACTTTGAGGTGCCGTCCTAAATTCTCTGCTAAGTAGAGGCATTGTGATGACAAGAATAACCTCAACAGCTAGCATTCTTCCCCAGCGAGGCAGATTCATGGAGAAGATTAGACGCATCTTTGGTCCTTAGCGGCCACAGTGAGGATGACGTCCGTGCACCCCAAGGAGGGCTGGGCGGAGGTTTTGTTCAGCCTGGGTCTTTGTTCTGCGGGGCAGTGAGTTGATCTCTTCTGATGGAGGCAGCCTGGTTCCTGGCACAAGCGTCACAAATATAGTCAATAGTTCTCTGTTTTAAACGAGTAGGCAGACAGCGCTGTAAGGGGATCCTTATGTAGGTCATAGCAGCAGTGAAAACTGATGAGAATTCAAGGCTGAAAAGCAAGTCTTGGTATTAAAATAGATTTGCAGATAAGAAAAAACATAAAAGATTGCTGAGAGGGGAACGTGGCGGTGGAAACTCATTCTTCAGAATTTCCATCATCCATATCATTTTCCAGACAAAGGTTAATTGAGAGCACAACTTCAGTGTACTTTGGCCAAAGTAACTGTATGGAGCCAGGCGGGGGAAGTGCATGCTAATCTAATTAACACAGTGGGGGTCAGGGTCAGACTCGGAGAAAAGAACACTCCTCCCACTAGCCCAGCCTCTCCCACGGGTCGGCTCAGTGCAGGTCGGACCAGGCTCAGTTGTCTGAGTCAGTTTTCACAGCTTCTTCAGAACCACAGATTCTGGGATCTAAGCGATTGCAAGAGTTCACGTCACAGAGGGTTAAGAGTTTTTTTTATCGTATTTTTTTCTTTTTTTCCTCTGGCTCAAATTTTTTGTTGTTGTATTTTTTCCCACTGCCATTTGGACCCCTCATGCCCCCTCCCCCTCAATCACCACACTGTTGTGTGTGTTGGTGAGTTCTTTCTCTTTTTTTTTCACTTTTGCTTAATCCCTCAAGCCCCCCTAAAGCCCCTCCAGAGCCATCAGCCTGCCCTCTACCTGTGAGTCTCTCTCTATTTCGCTTGTTAATTCAGTTTGTTCATTAGATTCCACACATGAATGAAATCATACGGTATTTGTCTTTCCCGGACTGGCTTACTTCACTTAGCATAATGTTCTC